ATGCCACAGGAGCCTACATGTATTGCTGAGCACCTCGTGGTTATGGGGTTTCAGGGTTTTTGGGCTTAAAAAAATTTGGGCACCCTTTTCAGAAGAGGATTGTCTGCAGATTAGGGACTTGGGATGTCAGGTTGAAGGGCAGATGCTTGCAGACGTCCGAAATTTCGGGAAGTCGTTGAAGCTGGAACCAGGTGTCAGCCGGTTCTTCGCGGCATTTCCAATGGCCCTGTGCATGTTTGTCTACCTTCTATCGAACCAAATATCTCTGTCAATAGGCTTCAGTGGGCATGGGTCGTATGTTGAGACTCTTCTATTCGGGCTCAGGCTATCCCGATTCCTTTGCTTGGCCTGCCCGAGAGCATTCAAGACAGAGGTCTGTGACTCTCGCTGGAAAGTTTGCGGGACTTCTTAAAGAGGTTAATGTAGAAGCTGATTCATAAACGAAATGTCCGTAAGGACATGAAACGAGGATCCTGTTTGACCCCCCCACTGAGGTCTTACAAATGCAAATGCTGTACATGGAGCTTCTGCATCGCTTGATCCGGGCTATCCTAAACCCCAAACCCAAGCGTAAACCCGAAGCCCTTCTGTTTCGACCCATGGGATCCACGCAGAAAGGGGCAATGCTTGGGGGGACTTGGGCTTGGAGCCCAACATGGACCTGAGTCCTATGAAATGAGTGCAGGGGCTTTAGCTCTTGGAATAGGCTTTCGGGCTATTTATACCAACAAGAATCCTAAGGTAGTATAGGGGCCTTAATAATTAGAATGGGGTTTGGGTTAGATTATACCTATAATCACAATAAGGAACCCCCAAAATCCTAGTCTAATTATAAAGGCCCCTACATTAGAGTGCTAAAAAAGTATCCAGGCTTCTATATCACCTTTATTGCCTCTTCGCCTGTTAAGTGAAAATATCCATCCCAGACTCAGGATTGAAGGAAACTACAGGTGGGGAGTTTAGGGTTATATAGAGCTTCTATAAGGCTTCTATAAGGTATATAGACCTTCTATAAGGCTCCTATAACGGTAACTACGCACCTGAAAATGTCCTAGACTCAGGAGCAGTCAGCCTTGCATGTTCCCAACCAGCAACCTCGCCCTAAAGTCGGGGGTTTACTCTTGTGAACCTTGCCCCCATCGCCCATGTTTACACATTCGATGAACACCCCGCCCATCTTTCAACCGTTTGAAGCAACTCGGAACCCTAAACCCCTAAACCATAAATCCCTTAACCCGCAACCCCAAAACCCCCCCCAAACCTCTAAAGTTCGAAACCCCTAAAGCCCCAAACCCCTAAACCCTAAACCCTAAAACCCTAAACCCTAAACCCCTAACACCTAAACCCCGAAACCCTGTAACCACAGAGAGCCTGCGTAGCTGCGGCATCAGCACCTCCGCGCACAAAGCTTCCGACGTCGGGTTCACGAAAGAAGGCTTTGGGCTTTAGGGGTTTTTTTTAGGGCTCAAGGTTTTTTAAAGCTTTTTAGGGCTTTAGGGCTTTTGGGCTTTAGGGTTTCTTAGGGCTTTTCAGGGCTCTAGAGCTTTAGGGCTTTTAGGGTTTTTTGGGGTTTACCAGCATCTTTTGCTCGGGGGTTTTAGGGTTCACTAAAGATAGTTTTTGTCGGGTTTCAGAGTTCAGAGCGTATAGGGTTTACTAGAGTTTAGGGTGTTAGCGCTCTCGAGCTTCTGGCGTTCAGAGGCTTTTTGGGGCTTGAGGGCCCGGTGGGCTTGAGGACTCTAGGATTCTGGGACTTAGGGCTTTGATGGGTTTAGGGCTTAGGGTTTAGGGTATTGTTTTGGAAACCCCCTTTTCCTCCCTGCTGGTTTTCGCGTTTCGGGCTTACGAGGCTTTCTTGAAGCCCTCCTAAAGCCTAAACCCTACGAAGCCTTCAACAAAAAGCCTTGTAGCAGCCCTTAAAGCTTTACTGCGCATACTAAATCTCCGACTCTTAGGTGCGAAGGCAGAGGGGAGATGCGGCTTCAAAAAGGGTTTTGGGATGCTTTGGGGTAGACTACCATTGTGGCAAGGAATGCCAAAATAGTATTGATCATTATTTAGGTCCATATCTTATGGGCCTGAGGGCCCGTTACTGTATCAAACATAGCCCCAAACCCTAAACCCTTACCCCCTAAACCCTAAGCCCTAAACCCCCTGAACCCCCAACCCTTACAGCCCCTGCTCAGGGAGCCCAGCCTTCAAGATTTGCGCCAGGACCCGTTCGGTGAGGCATCGTGCTTTCTCCTGGGGAAGAAGGACACTCCCTCTCCATTCCCATAGAAGGTAGACAAAACATATACATATACATATATATATGTATATATATCTATATATATATATACACACACATATATATATATATGTATATATATATATATACACATCTTTGGAGCCCCATGAAACCATACTAGGGCTCAGGGCTTTAGGATTCAGAGTTCGAAGGTGTGCATCGCTGGCGGTCCTAAGCTCAGCAATCTCTGCCCACAGCAAAACCCGCCGAACTCCCAAAACGTAGGACCTAACTTTGAGGAACCCATCCATGGAACATTAGACCATGCTGTACAATACTAAACTCTAAGGTAATCCCCTCTAATCAGATCTAAGCATGTAATGTACTGGTTGCCGAAGGAAGCCAGGTCCGAAAAAAACACCAACAGCTATACTACTTATGGTTGTCTAAATTAGGGTCCCTCTATAGGATCCCTTTAGAAGGGTGCGGTGCTATTTTGGGCACCTAAAAGGTGTCACTACTTCAGAAACCTCTAAACCCTGATCCCCAACGGCCAAAAACAAACCCGAAACTCTTTGAAGATTTGACTTTTTGGATCCCATGAAGGAAGCAGAATCCTAAACCTTGCGCCCGTGTACAGCCCTTCTAGATCACTGCAAGCAACTCGTGTAGATCTCTAGAAGGAAGCCCTGAAGGAGCAAATCCCCCCTGAATGAACAGCGTTCTAAATTGAGGACCCCGGAGAAATAGTATAAACCCTAAGCCCTACACCCCGAACCCCTAAACCCCAAACCCACAAATGACCCCTAAACCCGAAATCCTCCGAACGGCACTGATAGTGCCCTAAACCCTAAAACCCTAAACCCCAAAACCCTCAAACCTAAACCCCAAAACCCTAAACCCTAAACCCCAATCTCAAAACACCAAAACCCCAAAAACCCTAAACCCTAAAACCCCAAACCCCAAAACCGCAAAACCCTAAACCCTAAAACCCTAAACAACAACCCAAAAAACCCAAAAACCTAAAACCCTAAACCCTGAACCAGGGCCTCGCCGAAGGTCTCCAGGTGCTTTGGATCCGGGCAGAAGGCCGCCCCGGGCTTCTGGCCCTCCTGAACAAGGCTCTTGGGCTTTAGGGTATTTTTTAGGGCTCTAGGGTTGTTTTAAAGCTTTTTAGGGCTCTAGGGTTTTTTTAAAGCTTTTTAGGGCTCTTGGGCTTTAGGGCTTTGGGGGTTTAGGGCTTTTGGACTTTAGGGGTTTTGGGCTTTAGGGGCTTAGGGGCTTGAGGGCTTTGGGGGTTTTTAAGGGCTGGTACGGTTTTGTAGGGCTTTACGGTTGTTTTTCGAGCTTTGCGGGGCTTTACCCCTAAACCCTAAACCCTAAAAACCCTAAAACCCTACGGGGCTTCTGGGTTTGGGGCCTGAGAGCTTTAGGGTCTTAGGGTCTGGGGTTCGGCCGGCGGCTGGTGATACTTAGCAGGGGCTGTTGGGATATACCTTTCTGGAGCCATAATAGGAATACAAGGTAATCATGCAGGAGCCCTCTTTCTAGTAGGGTTTTAGGGTTTAGGCTTCAGGGTTTAGGGAGTTTAGGTGTAGCTGAATTTGGCTCTGTGGGGTTTTACGGTCTTTGGTTTGCTTGCCCTTCTTCTATGTGGGGCTTCGGGGGGTGTATATAGGGGCCTCAGTGATCAGAAGACGGTTCTGGGATACTGGAGATGTAGCTTTCAGGGTTTAGGATTAGAGATTTAGCATGGTGGCTTTCAGTTCAACATTTAAGGCAGCCGGTGCGTAACAATCTACACCCTACGCCTGAGATGCTACACGGAGCGTTACATGGATGCACCGGAGGAGTGCATTTTGCTTCCTCGCTGAGGTGCACATCGATGTGCCATTCTCCATCCTCCGCAGAGGATCGCGGCATTGAACTTGTACCCTCCAGGTGGTGGGGGGCTGACCACCTCCGCCACGAAGGTCCAACCCCGCCCACTTAAATTGGGGGCGCTGTTCGTGGCCACTATGCCAGGAGGTGCACAGTGGCTCTGGCATGTATGCAGGTAAGGCCTCGATTCCGTGTTCCTCCTTTCGCGCTATCTATGGGGGTGCTGCAGTACGAAGCTGACCATCATCGCCGAAAGGACACAGGAAGTTATTTTTCTAATGTTCTCTGTCGCTCTGGCTGCTGGCTCAGACAAAGATCGGCGACGGGCTCTCGAGGGTGGGGACTGATGAGATCACTGTCTACACAAGCGTCTTCACATAAGCTCGAGAAGTAGGCTTTCTGCACGGGTACCGATTGAAAAGTCACGCTCAATCCTAATCTCCAAGCCCGATATCTGAAATCAGAAGCTCTGCATGCAACCCTACACCCTTCACCCTCAACACTAAACCTGTAACATGTGCCCTTACAGACCCCTTCTTATACATTCCTTGAAGGAACCCTCGAAGGAATGCTAACCCCGTTCCTTGTTTGAGTGGACGTGCCTCGAGCAAACGGTCAGCACATTCCTGCAAGACGCGCATCACGCCGTCGGCCTCAGCTAAAGCAGAGGATGCGATTTTTTCCTATTCTTCATCGATAAAACGATGTCCACGATCCGTCTTTATGTCTGAGGTGACAATAGTGTATCATCGAACCGTGCCTGCTAGGCAAAGGAAGCTTTTCCGAAAAGCTTCGAGCAAACTTTTCACCAAAGGTCGGCGCTGAGCACCAAAGTTCGCGTCTAGGTAGGAGCAGGCGGAGGCCGATCAAACGACATTATCTTCTCAGCTCATTTGTTGAAGAACTCTGCCACAGCATCTGTCGAGGCTTTCACGGCCTCGGGCTTGTAGTAGAAGTCCACATGGCTGAACTCGTCAAACGCCAATTCCTCATGTTCGTTCGTTAGCTTGCTAACAAACTCGGTCGAGCACACCGCGGTCCAAGCAGCTTTGCTGTAGATCGTCAGAGACGGCTGGACGATCTTGTCGGCGTATGCTTCCCCGATAGAGAACAGAGACTGCATGCCTTGGTCGCCGATATGCATGTTGGTGAAGTTTGGAACCGCCATCGGCCCTTTGACACCATCGCGACCATAGTAGTCATAGGTCTCTCCGGCCATGGGGTTGATGCCTGCCATCGCTGCGACGAAGTCTTCTCGAGACTGCTCATCATTCAAGCCGATTGGTGTGACGTAATCTGGCTCCCCACCTTCATACATTTTCTGCTTCGAGGCATTAGCGGCCGCGATTTGCTGGTTCACCTGGTCGCGGTTGGTCCATTGAAAGGCGTCCGCTGCCATCATGCCAGACACCATGGCGATCTTCTTGATCCGATGGTCTGTCACGGCTGCCGACGCGATGATCGAACCGCCCTGGCAGACGCCCAGACCGTAGATCTCGCCAACGAAAGGAAGTGTGCCAAGGAATGACACGGCATCCCAAGTGTTCTCGATGAGCCGAAACATGTAGCGAGATTGCTTGAACTCGCCGGGCAGCGCAGGAGAATCCCCCATGCCGAGGTAGTCGAAGCCGAGGTAGACAAAGCCTCGCGCGGCCATTTCAGGTCCATAGGTTGCCGGGATTTGATCCTTCACCTGCGGAAATGGGCTTGCGCCAACGATGGCTTTGTAGACTTTTGTCGCATCAAAGGCTTCGGGGAGATAGAGATCGCCAGCCAAATCCACGCCAAACGATCTGAATGTCACCTGGTTCTTGCCAGCAGTGAGACTTTTTGATGCCATGGTCCTGCCTCCTTGTTGAAGTCAATAAACCGCCGTATCTAGTTATGGTGGGGCTGTGCTTGAAAAAACAGACTCAGAGCAACGGAGGCCGTGTTTGGTTGTCTGGGACATCGAACAACAACCAGGGAAACGACTTCAGTCCTATCGGACGGTTTCTTGGCATTGCCAGGGTTTGGGGCTTGGTGCTGTTAAAACCAATACCTGTTGCACTATGAGCATCGGGGCTTAGCGTTTGGGCTTAAGGCTTAAAGCCTCGGGTGTAAGATTCGGTGGGAGGGCATTCGGGCTCTTGCTTTCCGGGCTCAGGGGCTCTGTGGCTTTAGGGTCTAGGGCTTGTGAGTTTAGGGTTTAGAGAGAGGGGATGTGGGACTCGATCCTCGGACAGAGAGAGCAGCTCCTTTTTCTGATGATAGTATAATGTACGACAAAACCCTGTTCTAATAAATTCAGGCCCCTACAGTACCCAGAGCCTTCGACCCCTGAAACCTTGATCCCTAACGCCCAACACCGGCGTCCGCACATCTCACGCTAGGGTACCGATGCGTCTCAGAAGCCGCTGATCCCGAAATCCCAAAGTTCAACAAGGGATGCCAGACCCTAAACCCGAAATCCCAACAAGAGGACCTTGGTTCTTCAACCAACACCTCTTGGCCTCTTGACAGTCTTTCGGCTCTGAGGCAAACCGAACCAGAACTCCGGAAGAATTCCCAAGGTCCTAAACCGCTGCGGCTTTGGCGGGGTTCTTCGAAAGCTTTGAAGAACGTCTTTGCTGCATTAGAAACCCCCATAGCAATCCCTGGCCCCCCTTCTCTTTCCGAGCCACCGTGTCCGTGCATGACAAAGCCAAGCGGTCGCAGGAGGCGTGGAGCATCTTGCACCAATCGGGGCTCCATTTTTGAAGGCCTGGCTGAGAGAGTTGTGTCGGGTTTGGGGTGAAAGGCCTGAAACCACCAAAACCTACTGTTCTTCTAGGGTCCCAATGAATTCTATAACAGTATTTGTAGTAAGAACCTACAAAAAGTAGGGTGATGGCAGTTTATGGTGGGGTTTAGGGTTTGAAAGAAGGCACCCCCCCTTACCCTTCAGATACCACTGTTTCGAATTCGGTGCTCTCTCGGCGCTGGCAAAGTCACTGAAACGATTTATCGAGACTATAGGCAATGGGCTTCATTTTTGCAGGGCTAATGTCTTGGGGATTTTGTGTGCTTTCGAGATTTATTGGTGCCCAGGAACCAGGCTGAACTAGGTCCAACTTTCCGCAGCAAGCGCCGTGGTCTTTGATCAAAACATGCTAGCATCAAAATGCTATCGGACACTGACGCGCGAAGAACACTGAGCGCCCACGATCTTCATCATACCAACAACGAGACACGAGACGGACAGGCACTGTTGCAAGACAGAAGCCAAGCTATGGTGCAAAGACGACGGATTCTTGCTAACGAGTTGAACTTGAATTGCTAAAACAGGATCGATAGGAAAGAAAACTTGGGTTCCCTACTATGGTAGCGTGACTCAACTAAGTTTTCTCCCAACCGTGAACCCAAAGCCCAAAACCCCGAAGCCAAAGCCCAAAACCCTGAACCCCAAAGCCCAAAACTCTGAGCCCAAGGTCCTCCAGCATCCCCGCGGCTTAGGCATTCGAGGAGTTCGTAGCCCTGCGGAGCCGATGGTTCCGTTAAGGATTCTCCTAGTATGAGTGGCCGTTAGGAGGGCTCCTTTTCAAGTGTTGCTTTGTAGTGTCGGTGTCAGGGCTTTGGGCTAAGGGCTCCTTTGCAAAAGTCCCTTCAGGTTCCTTAAGGGGCTCCTTTTATGGCTTTTGCCAAAAGGGGGGTGGGTTCAATTTCGGCCCGAGAGGTCTGGGTCTGCTGGAAGACAGGTGGGAGTTTTCCGAAACTCAGCGGGGTACCTTTTGGGGTCCTTGAAAAATGGATCCTACTATGTAGGGTACTAGATTAGGGTCCCCTATTTCCGGAAACCCCCAGGTTTGCTCTGGTTTCATGCTTCTAGCTTCACCCCGGGTCGCCCATAAAGCGAAGCAGTTGCTCCTTTGGTTGTGCGGCGTCCGGTTCTGGAAGACTATTGTTGGCCCTCGCCGACTCCCGATAGAGCGAAAAGTAGAGAGCAGAGTCTATCGCTTTGCGGTCTCGAGCTTTCGCTCTGGAAGAGTTTTGTTTGTCTTTCTCTGGATTTCCTGTTGCTCACCAACCGAAGGCATGCTCAAATCACTCTTTTGTGTTACGGAATGCATGCTTGGCTTAAATTGATATCTTGAGCCCCCCAACCTCCCAACTTGTTCATTAAGGGAAGACGCTGACCAGCGGACCAAAGGATCACAGCAACGCCCGACACCCAGGTCTCGAAAGCTACAAAACCCCAAACTCCAAGCGTGAGGCCCCCCGAATCCCAGATTGTACCATAATACACTGTAGCATCCTATATTATATACTATAATATACCATAATATACCATAATATACCATAAATATACTATAACCTATTATAAAGATGTGAAGCGAGGCTACCCTCGGCCTGCTGGAGAGAGAGGTCGTGTCGTGAGACCATCAGATCTTCGAGGATCATGCAGATCAGGTTGAGCAGCTCATCACCTAACTTAGGGTTTAGGGTTTAAGGTTTAGGGTTTAGGGTTTAAGGTTTAGGGTTTAGGAATTTGAGCAGTTTTGGTTTTGCCGTGGAATTTGGGAGTTTCCGAACTAGGGGGTACCATGTTATAAGGATCCTACTATTTAGGGCACTAGATTAGGGTCCCCTATTTTCGGAAACCCCCATTTGAGTTTCTTGGCTTTGCAGGGGAGCCTCGGGCATACTAAACCCATTCAGACTGGTGTTTGGGTTTTCAAGGGCTTGGAGTGCTAGGCTCCTTGAATCAGAGGGGGTGGCAGTTATCTGCACAGGAGGGTCCAACACTACAAAGGACCCACGAAAGGACTCTGAATTACTGAACCCCCCGCATGTTCGCAGCCAACCGTACGCCCTCGACCATCCGGCTTAAGCCATACCTCCCAAGCCTACATGGGGGTTTCCGAAAATAGGGGACTCTAGTATAGTACCCTAAATAGTAGGATCCTTGTTCTAAGGACCCCAAAACAAGGTACCCCCTAATTTTCGGAAACTCCTACATGCTGAGCAGGCCCTGGACATCCTGGAAGTCTGCAGCCAAAGACAGTGCGGCCTGAACACCTTGACACTTGCCGATGCTTGGTCCGGGCACGCCCTGAATCTCAAACTCAGACCCTGCTTGGCCGCCCAGTGCCCGGTACACACGCTCGATAACAAGATCTCACTTTCCGAACTATCCAGCCGTGGTAAAAGACCTCAAAATGCCCAAGAAATACTGCAGAGCGGAAGGGTTTAAGCTTTGGCAGACCCCAAACCCGATCAACAACCCCATTTAGCCAGCTTCTCCCCCTCCCCTAAACCCTAAACCCTA